CTCACTTGGGCACCTGCTTATATAAAAAAACAGCTTAAAAGTTCAATATTAAACATACTCAAAAGAAATAAACAATAAGAAATATTAATTGGTTAGCCAGGAAAACAAATAGCAGTGTGGAAAAAGCGCAAACTGTTCCCGAATGTCCTATTTGCAGTCTGTCTGCGGCGGCGAAGTGTCAATTACATGTGTAGAGGAATTCGAACGTGAGAAAATGTGCTCCAGGGATCTCCATGGAAACTCAAACTGATGCATATTAGAAGTGGCTGTAAATAGTATGCTGCCAGCATTCCATTCAGGCGTATTATGACAAATTTCTTCCAAGCTCATTTCATTCGTGACATTATGTTAAATTCTTATTTTATATCAGTTGACATGAACATTCTGTCTCCTCGTAATCCTCTCGATCCGATTAAAAAGGGGATATTCAAGAAGAAGGACAGGAAATCACTTAGCAGATAATCATAAGCAGATAACTGGCTACGATTTGTAATGCTTTCGAGATAAACTAAAACAGAATTTTTGATGAAAAAATTTCTTTCGCAAATCTCTCCATTATTGGGATGTTGCAATACGAATGCCCCCAAAATTTGCTTTTTTCTAACTCAGCTTGATTGGAACCTCTGACGGTCCTCTGCAGCTATTCAAGAAGACTAGTATTGAATTCAATCGCCTTTGCCAGAACATTTCGGTTTTTTCCGCATGAATTCTTTCCTGGACAATGAATTCCTGACAGACAGAGTCTGCGTGTGCGCATCTCCATTTTCTATAAAATTTGACCAAAAAACCACTTCGGAATATTTCTTACGCCTGGAAATTGAAACACTTTGGAAGTGGATGTCATATCCCAGCGTTATTACACGGCACCAGTGTTTTTTGGTGCAGATCGAATCTAAGAAGGAGAAAACTGGCTGCGAGATCAGCCTCTGTCGGGAACGCTCCGGAATAAGCCGTGAATTTGGGTCTCCCTCGAACGACACGTGAACTCTCACAGATTTTCCGGCAACACTACTCCACAATAGCCGACCATTCCATTGCTCGAGAGATATCGGAAGGGAGATTCGGAAAACATCGGCCATTGCATCTGACTGCTTCTTGTAAGCGCAATGCATTATAAGAGGAAAGACCGCAGTACTACCACGATTTTGGGATTGAGGGGCGAGCTTGTCGACGCACAGCATTCAATGTTGGCCTAGACAATGGCGAAACCTGAAACAAAAAGGGGATTATTACTTGATCTGAACTGCTGAGCTATTGTTGTTTTATCATTACTGAAGAATATTTATATAGCAACATCCCAAACTGTTATTTAGGAATTCGGGTTTGGTGGAGGAGGGGCGCGGACTAGTGCAGCGCGCTTCAACACGTCATTTGGCGGTCTGGGGGCAGAACACTCTAGCTAATGCTCCAACAGGCCTATTCAAGAAGTAGATCCCTACGGAGTCGTGTCAAAGACGGTAGCTAGGCTGTGTGAGAGGCGAACCTTGAACACGTGGCTGCTCAGAGCAAGCATTGTATAGGGCCGGCATTGTCATTCAAAAGTTGCCACTAAACAGTTGATTGAGTAGCAGCGGGCGCGCATTCTCTCAAACTTTATTGGTTAGGTCCAAAGGTTTGGCCTTTGATTCTCTATGTTATGAATATCTGTTTGCCGCTTCGTTGCTGTGGGAAACCGTACTGATCTAGACGGCAATCATGATGAATGTATCCCTTATAAAAAAAAATGTTTTTGGGGGGTTTCCCCCGCCCCCCCCTCGAAAAAAAAATTCCGGGCTTTTTGTGGCTATGTGAAAAGCATTCGCATTATGTGGTGAATAAGAAGTTCGATCTAATGCTCAAAATTCCACCGTGACGTCGTTTGGTATTAAACGCAATGACGCTTCTTGACCGTTACCGCACTCCAATCATGGCATGTTTATTCTTTTTTGCGAATCTCTTAGGGTAAGGGTAGGGTACTCTTCCAAGTCGTCGCATGAAGTCAAGGGTAAGGTTCCCACTGCGCAGCAGCACGACCTTTAATAAGGGTTGGGTCTAGTGTAAAGCATCAATCCAACGTGGGAGGTCAAACTGATATGAAAGGGCTGCTTTGGTGAAGTGGTATTTGCGCAGTTTCAGCAATAGCTGTGTATGACCACGTCTGCGCGCCAACGTTCGCTGATGGCGTGATCGGGGTCGGGCCGAAGGTCGCGAAAATTTTGAAATTGTCAACAATATCCTGTAGACCCCTGAGTAGGTCCATGATTCCATGATTAAGCAGCTATGTTGTGGGAAAAGATGGAATTTGTAATCATTGATGGTTGTGGCATAAGCGAATCTATAGCGCTGATTGTGAGCAGTAAACAGCGTGAGTTAGGTGATGAGCCTGACGAGTTGCACGGGATTTCTCAGCAGCTGATTGTAGAAGCAGGTACTACTTCTTCACGCCCACGGCCATAGTAGGTATGAGGACCTTGCTCATATTTGAAGCTCAGTAGAGCGCATAGAAGTTGCTGTCATCGAAATACCGACGTGAGGGGCCAACGGTTTTCACGGTAGAGCTCCAAACTATAAATCCGATCGTTGAGCTCAATAGGACCCAGGGAACATTAACCACAGATCAGTGAGGTCTTATTTCCTTAAAGGCAGCGATTACGATAGTTTAAGAAGGGTTTAGAGTGACGTGGTGGTGCTCAATGGTACGCCAGTGCGAAAAAAGCAGAAAAATCCGTCAAGAAAACGCAAAACGGGACCCCTTTTTTGGCCGTTGGTTTTCACTCATGAACAGGTAACAGCTCAGAAAGTGGACGTATGAACGAGTTCACCGCAACGCGTTTGATGGCACCATACCAAACAACGCTAATCGAGATGCTCCATTTGCGCCGCTGCTGGCCACGCAGCTCGTCCAAATCAACAAGTAAACTGTGGGCGGATCGCTTTTGGGGGCGGAGCGCTTTCGAAGTCCTGCTCAGCAACCAGCGCACCTTAGTGTGAGAAGCGCCACATCTCGCTTCCCTGGCAGCCGCGTGACTCGTGCGGTGCACAAGCTTCCCTCTTTATCGTAATCGTTTTCTTTAACAACCAATCCAACAGCGGATAAATGCTCCCATGAGAAACTGAAATTTGGGCGTTCAAACGAATGTATGGAAAGTCCCGATTTTTCGAGTTCGCTCGATTAAGGAGCACCAAGTACATAGTAGCGCTCGTTCAGGCAGGCGGATATTCCTGACACGAGTGGACAAATGCATTAATGGCGCTATTGCGACAGATGAAACACTCCATCTTAAGAATTTGTTGAGCAAAGCTGTTAACAGTTCATCGTGGAAAATGATGAAACTTTGCAGAATGTCAAACCACTTACTGAGGGGAAGGATACCGTAGACATGCGTTACAATAGGACATAAGGAAAATAATGGATACAGCGACAACACTGAGGGTAACCCACCACAGTGTCACAGCTTAACGACAACAACCTTATTTCTGATGAAATTTTCAGAATCAATATTTGTACATACCTGCCATCAAAATGTCACGGCACAGAAAAGATCAGGGTTTATTGATGCTGTCTGACGACGAGAGTGATGGAAAACTCTCATTCAAAACGACATCGAGGTAAGTGAAAGGAGGATAAAACCCGAACAATGTCCCAAAGTTGATTGCTCCATCAATCCTGCACTGTTTCAGAGAATCATACACGGGCGCTGGAGGAGCCGGCGAGAGGTTCACGATGACTCATCCGAGAGACCAGATCGACAGGGACAGTGATGCACTAGATGGGAGAACCACTAACAGGTACTGCGGAACATTTCAGACTTGCGTTGTTCATCAGGCTCTAAGCTGTCACTGTTCCAGGGAATCGTACACGGCCACGGGAGGAACCGCCAATAGATTCACAGATAATGGGCACAGCAAGGCAGGGGACCCGCCAAAAATCGATAGGGACACGTTGGTCGTGCCACTGGGATGAAGAACCAATCCAACAAGGTAATTGTGAATTCCACTCCTTGACTTTTTTCTTAGCATTCAACAGAATTCTTATTACTTCTAGAGAGATAGCATACATAGGAGGACGTGGGTGACAAGATTCAAGATGGATCACGCCCTCAAGACCCGACATAGGTAGGAACCAGTGGCCCCAATTGCGAGGGTTAGCCCCGATTAACAGGCTACGCCCCGCCAACATATTTCCAATCCTATTGGCTTGTTATTGCTAGATTATCATCATAGCATCTCTTTCAGAGAATCCTACCGAGGTGGACCTGGTGAGAGATTCTCTATGACACGCCCAAGAGACCAAATCGATAGAAACACTGATCCGCTTGATGCCAGCACGATCAACAGGTACCGTGATATCGACTCACTGATTAAACCATGTAATTGTAGCAGTTAATACGGTACAATTGTTCCAGGGAAACATACACGGGTGGATGTAGGTGATGCAGGATTCGCAATTGACCGCCACCGAGGACCCAGCAATTGATCGAGACACCGATCCTCTGGATGGACGTACAATAAACAGGTACTAAGCACTACCCAACTCTCTCGCATTCTTAGAGAAATAATGTTTTAGAGAGTACTTACAAGGGCGGAACTGGCGAACGTTTCTCGATGACTCGGCCAAAAGATCAGATCGACAGAAACACCGACCCTCTGGATGGAAGCACAATAAACAGGTACTGACATAACCTTACCCTTTCGCCATTCATGCAGTCCCAAGAGAAACAAATATTCCAGAGAATCTTACAAGGGTGGAACTGGCGAACGTTTCTCGATGACTCGGCCAAAAGATCAGATCGACAGAAACACCGACCCTCTGGATGGAAGCACAATAAACAGGTACTGACATATTACCTTACACCTTTCGCCATTCATGCAGTCCCAAGAGAAACAAATATTGTAGAGAATCTACAAGGCGTGGATTGGAAACGGATTGCGAACGTTTTCTCGATTGACTTCCGGCCCAAAGATCGATCGACTCGAAACAGCCGACCCTCTCGATGGCAAGCACAATAAAACAGCGTACTACCGATCAATCCATTTAACCTTCGCATTTCGATTGCCAGTCCCAAGAGAACAAATTATTCAGGGAATCTTACTAAGCGCGTCGGGAACTTGCTGCGAACCGTTTCTCGATGACTCTTGGCCAAAAGATCAGTATCGACAGAAAATATAAAAAAATAAATATAATATAAAAATTAAAATAATAAAAAATAAATATAAAAATATATTAAATAATCACCGACCTCTCGTATTGAAGCTACAATTAAACAGGTACTGTGACACCGTCCTGCTTTGGCTTCGTTGAGAATGCAGGTACGGACACTATTTTGTACGACTTCTTTAGGTGTTTTTCTCTAACCATCCCGAAACAGTCGAATAGGAAGTAATTCCTAACTAGTGTTCTTCCTGGCCGAAACCCGATTTCAAGGACCAAGACATTGTGACATAGCAAGCCCAAACGAAACGATCCGAACTGTAATTAGAAAGACGACTCCTACTACTCGTTACTACTTAATACTACTAGTAATAATAGCAGCTCCCACAACGAATATATAGGGTGGGTAAAAATGACGGGAACAAGATTAACTGCTCTTGAAAACCATTATGGTTTGAAAGATCCCGAGTTAACAAAAGCAATACATGTATTAATCGAAGGCCACTAAAGAAAGGACGTCGTTACTCCTTGAAGGAACATCTTCATTTATTCTTTATTCTTTATTCATCGGGCACTTCCAACTCCTGTGATCCATCGCAGGTTTCGCGAAAATCGCGAAATCGCGCAAATCGCGCAAAGGATCGCGGACTCTGACATCAGCCTTAAACTTTTTCCAGAAATACGTCCCCTCCCCCCTCATCGTAGATTTCTCCATCTATGCATCATGTCTTCTGTCTAGCGACAGTGTGAGAATGAACTCCTTAACAGGAATTAATCCTCCAAAAACACAGTGATCCTAAAGTATGGAAAATGCGCAAGCGCATGCTATGTCCTCTTCAAAACTCTTACCTCACCCACACTTTCAGCTCTGCACTTGCTCCATAAACAACACTTGATGCACTCGGTCACGACAACGATCTCTAACATACTAGAATGGCAACGGTCTCATCAGATCAGACCGGCTTTACGAAATCTGAGGGTATAGGTAGAGACGTGCGTGATGTGGCAGCGCACGGTAGCTGGACCATCGCCGAGTGCGACGACATGATGACTGATATTTACTGCGACCACTATCGCCAGCATGCAACAGTTGTGGCAGCACGATCACAGCATTGTCGAAATCCTCATGTCGTGGCCCAAGTCCATGTTGAATGTTCTTCAAAAGTAGGCGGACCTGTAGTATAAATTAGCTTTTCTTATGTGCGTGTGAATGTGATTCCTACATGAAAGTCTATGTTGTGTAGTCGATGCAGTTTCCACATAAACGCTTATTAGAGTTATCTTTTACATTGGTGATAAAAAAAGATATTTTTCCGTTCACTATGATCACTTTCAGCCACTTAGGCTAGTATTTCTTTCAACACTCTGTTTGAAGCAGAGTTTGAATTCGATGTGGCATAAATTTTGGTCTTTTCAATAAATTCTTGCTCTGCGTTAGTTACAATTCGATGCCACCTTTCATAACATGATTTGATGATAGTTTCACCCTAAAGGAAAGAATAAGGATCAAATTGATGTGGTAATCCCACTCTACTATGAAAGATGGGAATAGACTGCATGTGAGAAAAAAGAAATGACAATAGCGAAATTCACAGGAAAAGCGAGCATTCTCGAGGAGAATTCTATGAGGCATGCAGAGAAGTGAGAGATAATGCGAGAGCTTGCCTTCAACTCGTGGATTGTTATAAGACTATCTTCGTCTTCATACAATGTTAAACGATCAGTTAGATGAAGGTATTGCTGCTGACAATGAGTTGAAATCAGGCGCAATTACATGTGTAATGAAGACAAATTAGAAGTAGCGAACGAAAACATCGAAAACTGACAAGGGCCTGGGAGACTATTTATGCAAAAAACAAGGTGAGAGGAAGGGAGTGCAGCAACTCTGACAGCGATTTTGAGGGCCAATCATGCTGTTCACTGAAGCGGTTGCTGAAGTCAACCCAATTGTGAACTACATTTAATTGCAGAGTTGCAAGTGATAACTTGTAGATTTACCTCACTTGGGCACTTACAAAATTCATTTGTGCTGAATAACCACATCCTTTGTTCGTGGAATGTGTCTTTAATCGGAGACTT